CGTCAGGATTGTCGCCTGGAAGGAACAAGGAATTTCAGATGAGTCTCAGTAGTCCAAGGTTGGAACCAGCAAGCATCCTCCGTGTGAGTGCCTTTTCTGGTCGTCTACACCGGCCTTACCGCATCTGAAAATGGAATATTACAAATTTGTTTCTAAGGTTGACACAAATGTAAAAAGGCTTACATCTAAAGGTTTCGACTTTCGCCTTCGCTCCAGATGGATCCCTCATTGTCGGAAGTTTTTGTTTAGAGGCGCCGATACTATATCCAAACAATAGCGCGCAATATAGGAACCATGCAAAAAGTGAAGGAAGAAGTCGCGCTTAGCATAACCAATTGTGGCATGGCGTAGAGCAGGTTGCATACTGTCAGCATGAGCTGTCAGTACACCAGGACTAGCAGACGCTCCTTTCAGTAGCACGTTTCCGCAGAAATGCGAATTTTTGGTTTGAGACAACCGCATTTCAACGAAGGGAGAGTTGAGTTTTTACATAATGTTACTTCTAGTTTTCCTCTAAGCCTTCAAATTGCTCTTCCTAGTTCAATTCTCAGTGCCATAAACGTCTACACGAGGCTCTGCAGGATGCGTGTTGGGGTGGGTATTCTTAGCAGACCATGATACATCACGAAAATAGGTAACTAGCAAAGTAAGCTACTTGCAAGCAGTACATTGCTTGGGCGCTGACTGCTGCAGGCAACGCTGCAGATAAACCTGCGCGCTTCGACCCTCAGAATTCAAACGAGCTTGCACGGATCAGGAATACGTTGCAGATAAAAAGCCAACAAAAACAGCTAAAAAAAAATGCGCCGCAAACAGGATCTGGCGCAAATTCGTCTGCCGTGCTAGGGTGTTTGCACCGCAGTTCGTGAAGAAATAAGTAAGTGCTCCCAAAGCGTCTCAGGAGAGCAAAGATGCTTCAAGTGAATTTGACGTTGCGTTTTGAAATTTTGTTGCGGTTTACCTCGAAGTAAACCTACGTGACCGAGCATATCTTGGACCCTGCAAGTTGGAGTGCCTCCATGGAGAGAAGCGACGTGCAAACTCCAAATTTTGGAAGTGGGAGGGGCAGCACAGTCCCTCCACTGCATAACATTTCCTATGCAAACCCGTCTTCACCGCAAACTTGACGCTAAGGGCGAAGCTGGCACGGACATCGCTGTCACAAAACTGTTGCCATATACTGAATGGATAACACTCCTTTGGAAATTGGCAAGAGGCTCCACAGGAGTACTACCTGCTAAGCTGAAAGACACCCACGTGTTTTCTTGAACGCGACCGACTGTACAGTGAGCTTGACCACCGGTTATTAAACGCAACTTCATCCTTCCCGTTTGAAGCCCGTATCCCACGGCTGTCAAGTGTCACGGGAACCAACGTCCATTTTGAGGCAAACTTCAGCGGCTTAAGGGGCGCCGATTCACCAGTAACACACTCACCAGTTACTTGATATCCATATCGCGCTGATGGGAATTAATGGTGTCAGTCAGACAGTTTTGCGCTGCGTGACACTTTGAATGACGGACACAAACTTTGAGTCGCGCGAAATGTAGGTAATTACCCGAGGAGGCAACCACATCTGGTCCCAATGCTTTGCACCGCCAAAGAAAACCGTTCAACTGGAGAAGGCCTTTCTAATTCATCAAAATCGATCTTTATCTCATCCTCCTCCTTAAACGTTCGGTCGCCCAAGATTGCAGCATACACTTGTTCCTGTTCCTCTGTGTAGCCATCAGGTTGTGGGTAATCCAATGCATCAAAATCCCAAGAATGATCTGAATAAGACAAATTTCGTCTGTTCTTGAGCGCGCGCACTGCGAGTTCTCGTCGCATTGACGGATACTTTCCAGCTTGGCTTTTCCGAAGGAAACTTGGAGGATTTTTCCTTCTGAGCACAAGCATAAGCATAGTCAAACTGCATCCACCTTCCATACTTCAAAGGCAGCTATTATAAATGGGGAATGCCGTGGGTGATCTGTGTAAAGCGTGAACGCACAAATGGCGGAGCGTATCTCGGCGTTCTGGAGCGAGCGTTGTATCCACGTTCAAAACATGATCTGCAGAGGAAACTGACAATTCTTAGTGAAGAGTAGGTAAAAGCAAATTAGGCGGTCTTGCCACACTACAGCTATGTAGGCAGTGCTTCTGAAATGAATCATAAGGTTAGGTGAGTAATGGGATGCTCAGCCTGTTGCAGCATTCGATTAGGAAACCAGAAACAGCGCAGCAGCGGCTCGATGTTTCTGACTGTTCTAATCCCCTCGGGGGAGCGCACCAACGCATAGGGTGACAGCGCCTGCCATCCTTTCCGCAGAGCACTCTAGCAGTTGGCGCATTCGTTCATCTTCGTCCTTGGTTGCCAAACGGATGAGATCTGCGCCGTTGTTGTCCTTCTCCTGAGCTCGCAAGTTTTCTTCTTCGAGCGCCTGCCTGCATTTAACCGATACACCCAAGGCGCAGGAACTAGAACGAGGCCTGGCCTGTACATGAAAGAGGAACTAGCGCGAAAATTCTGCACTAGGAAGCCTGTCTTGATAACCCCATTGTCGTTTACAGAAGATAGCACTAGCTGTGGAATACCTACAAGCCTCCACGTGGAAATTCACCTAAGAGCTTTTATTTCTTCTTCGGCTTCTTCACGCGCTCTGTCCCTCAGCGTTTCGCGTTCACTCTTTGCTGTTTGGATGATCCTCTTTGCGTGATTCGCGGCATTCTGAAGCATTTGCATGACTTCAGCTTCTTGATCTGCGCTGGTGAGCCCAACAGGGTGGGTAGAGTGGTGCAATCGCCCCTCAAGAATGTGCGGCAAATGAAGGTGCCGTAAGGGGATTGGCATGTGCAGGGCGTGTTCGCCTGTGCCATCCTGCCCACCAAGCACTCTGCCGGGGAGAGGGTGATAGGCTGCATGAAATCGCTGGCGTAAGCTGTGGAAGCCTCTTCTTGTGTGGTCAAGTTCCGCTGGGTTAGGCGCTTCAATTCCTGACCTTATTCCCCCGGACAGCTGATCTGAGCGCACGTCGCTATTCAAGCCCATTTGCACCCGTTCGCGCGAACCTTTACTGCTATCAGACCGCATCTTCGGCATGACTCTCATGGAGAGGTTCGACAAAGTTCGCCTCAGGAATGAAGAGGGCCGGGACTCCATAGTAGTTGCTGGGGAAGCTGCATGAGCTACGGAAGTCCTCAGGACGGCGTTGTTGGGGCCATTAGTAGCATCAGTGTGCTCGCATTGCTCATCTTTGCGCTCTTCAGCCAAGCTGAGTTGGTCCTTCGAGCCCCTGAAATCAGTGCCAGACTGCTGGCTCACTTTTCGGCTGGCCACTGGCCGCCTTAGTGAGAGCCTGAATGGCATCTTTGAGCCGAACGTGTTTGTGAGCTGCTGGAAACATCCACTGGCAAGTCTCCAGCAGTACACTCTACGGCAAAACAATGGACTGCTTCAACTGGCCAGGCGTGGCTCAGCCCAGGGAGCCCCTTAACCACGTACCGGGCTCAAGGCCTGCTTCAAAGAGCAGCTGCTATAAATGAATGAACCGCAATACAATGAAAACGGTGGTCAGAAAGATCCTCCATCGGGTTCCTTTGATGACTTGGGTCTCGCCTCAACGGAATCACGTCGAGGGGGCACTGAGCGAAGCTGGCGAAGCCCCCCGTTAACACAAATTAGAACCGCATAGCTAGAGCGCTCTTTGAAAAATACGACATTCTCGCTCTCTCCGCAGATACAACTCTTCTCTCAGAACCATGTGCTGCGCATGGCCTCCGTAACCGGGCTAACTGCTGACTTTGACTCGTGGCTTTGTGTGGGCCATCGGGCAGTGGACCTAGTGATTAACAATGTCAAGCCGCTTAACTCCATTCATAGTCTACTTAATATTTTTTTAACGCTTCTTGTTCCTTGAGGCAACATGAAACCAGGCTTTTACTCAGATGCAAAGCACCGCACAGAATCCTCGTTCCAGAACTCCGAACGCCGCGGAGTATAAGCAGGTCTGTTGGCCTGCTGTTTAATTGTACCATAGGTTTCTTGAATTCTAATCTCAATTAACGCTCTATAACCATTAACCATGAAGGATCAGCTTAGGTTTGCGTCCCCCGGAAACAGCCACTGCGGCCCTGTAGACCAGCACTTGCGCAGGGGAGCCTTCCAGCTGGCAACTACGTGTGTTGCACTAACTTTTACTACATCGAAACTCTTAAGCCAAATTGAAGTTTATCGCGTCATGATTCAGAGCACCAAAAACGCCGGCAGGAGCCCTCTTCTCCTCAACATCTGATCAGGTCGCAGCACTTGGTGTGCGCAGGTCGTTACGCGGCCATACATGAGATAGACTCCCACAAAGGCAAATAAGAGAACACGAGAGACAACAAAAACAGCCGAAATATGGCAAAAACGTGGCGACAGCGTGAAGGAGGGCAAGAGAACTCATCCAAGCAATACCTCAGACACAGCGACGAGGGCGAAGAGCGTCGACTCCTTAAGAGCCCCACACAAACACCTGAGGTGCCTAACGTGCCCTGCAGCGGCGTACTCCACGCGCCACATCCCCCTTCTTTGCTGCTGTAACCACCGCAGCTCCTATGACTTCAAACAGCACTGTGTCTGTGGCCTGTAGGCTGTCGGCGCCGGTTCCTTTTGCTTCCCCGTATTTAGCACAGCCAGCAAGACAGACGCAACATAATATCCATGTGCAAAGAGTATCTATCAAAATACATTGGCCACACTAAATCCCCTTCAACCTCCAAAGCATGACGCGCCGCCCACGTGCATGTTCCTAGTTCAAGTTTGTCTCTGTGTCTGGGCTGAGCTCTCTGCTGCTCCACTCCACGCAGCAACGCCGAAACGGAATACAAATATTTTGCCGCCGCGAGACGCACAGAGCAGAGGCAATGCAGCTCAATGAAAACCATCGGGATGGGTAGCCCAACACGCACTGACACGAAACTGCCCAAGCAGCAGGGAGTCTAGGAAGCTGGGGCCCTCGTTGCACAGCACTTTTGAGTCAGTCTAAGAAGGATCCAAATATATGTCTCTCTTCATCTGAGATGAAATCGTTATGCAGGAGAAAATCCGTGGCCACGTCTTCGAATATTTCAACTGACCCAAAACCCTCCTCCGTTGTCGGCGGCTCCACCTTCGCATAGAACGAATTCACGACAACTTTCGGCACCTTCGCGAGCCGAAAGCGAGATGGAGACTGCCCTGTTACTGCAGCAGCGCCTGCAGCGGCTTGCGCCCTAAGCGCGGCCGCAAGGCTGCGGAATTGCCCCAGGTGGAGGCAAACTTCCTTCGGCCACAGCAGAGCCACGCCCCGCACGGCGCAGCCCGGGGCGTGTTGCTTCGCCAGCTGTATGAACACCTGGCGATCTTCTTTGGTGGTGTTCTGCCGGTCGATCACCACACTTTTTCCCTCCCGAAGAAGCCTCGCGCAGAGCTCTTCGCACTTCGCCTTCGACTTCAGATCGTCCTGGCGCACAACGCCGTGCTGTGGAAACAGCTTCTCTATGAGAGTGCTTTTGCCGCTGCCCGGGGCCCCAATAAGGATGACGAGCTCCTGCACAGGGGGCTTCCCCTCACTGCATGGTTCTGTCTCGGTGGCGCGTTTCTTATGAGGCTGGACTTGGCCTTTCAGCAGCTCCATTGGGTCAAAGGCCGCAGCAGCAACTTCGCTTGCTTTCCGTTTCGCCACACTTCCAAGTTTTCCGTCGCTGCCCGTCAGAAGCTGCTGCTTTCCCGCAGCCGCCTCGCCCCCGCTCGGCTCTCCATTTACTCTGCGGCGCAGCAGCGGCAGCAGCGGCGTCGCCTTTTCAGTGAAGAACTCCTCAGGAGTGAAAAAACGAATTCCAGCATTTAACGCGAACTTCAAATCCGCAGCGCTGTGGTCGCCCGGCCGCCCCGCGGCGTCGCCGACGTAGAACACGCGCGGGAACTTGCAGTCCACGCTGGCTGCTGCTGAGGGCGCAACGGCAGCCTGCTGCTGCTGCTGCTGCTGCTGTTGCTGCTGCTGCAGCAGGGGAAGCAAGTCTTTGAAAATAAAGGCCCCGGCCGTGGGCCGAGGCTTCCTGTAGAGGTCGTCGCAGCAGCAAAGACAGGCAGTCAGAGGCACCGCCAGCGCTCGCTGGACTCCGTCAACTTTTTCGGTAATCTCTTCGAGTGACACGTGGCCAAGGGCCACGCCGAGTTGGTTCGACAGAATAAAAATGGAATAGCCCTGAAAGAGACACCCACGGCCAGTCAATGGCCTCGTCAGCAGCTGCCAGCAGCAGTTACAGCAAAACTGGCCCTAAAACAACAGACGCTCTACAGGCAATTTCAAACCGAGCTCAAGTGCAAGGAATCTTCGCATAGGTTAAGCGGCAAAAGCAGAAACAAATTTGCACAAAAGATGAAAGAAACAGCAGCAAGTTCACCGAATAAGGGCAAGGCTGAGAAGGTTCTGCCAACTGTTCTCTGAGACTCTAAGAGCATGCACAGAGAGGGAGATCATCTGAGCTCCTGCGCTCACGAGCTCGTGCAGCCGCTGCAGCTTCGCCCGCACGTGCGGGTCGAAGAGGAGCTTCCAATCTTGAGCGCCAGTGGGAAACTTTTTGCCGCTGCGAGTTGTTATGAGGGTGCCGTCAAGATCAAAAATGGCGACGCGGCTGCACTGGCACTTCTCGCGGGCCTCTGCGCCTTCACCATCAGCGGGGACGGGGCCACCGACTCTGCAACAAGTCGGTAAGTGAAAGACGGCTTGAGAGGCATGCAAGTTGTACAAGTGACAGCAATCGGCCCTCGCTGCTGCGCCCTTCTTAGCCTCACACTGGCTATACAACTGGTTCGAAGCTGCGCCATAGTGCCGCCACCAAAGGGAGTTTTCCCCCGCGGGATGCCAAGAGGGAGATGATGGCTGCGCCCCCACCGGAGAAAAAGTCTTGCGCTTTGGCATTTCACTGAATTCCACTCACCAGCTATGGCCTACAGTGCCCCGTGCTATACTCTTCGAGTCTTGCCACCTCTTGCTCCATGGAGCTACCATGCTTACTGAGGAAAAGGCTAGGCCACGGCTTTCTGGAGAAGCTCAAAAGCCACGCATGAAACGCTTCGGAGCCTTCTCTCTGATGGTAGAATAGCGCGTTCGCTCAGCTTCATGTGATAACTGACCAAAAAGGCGGGGATGAACTGAAAGATCGCTTCACCATCGAAGACTCCCCAAAATGGAGAAGCATGAAAGAAAAAATCAAAAATTCATGCAGTTGTCTGCAGTGTGTGTCGGCTAATGAACGAAGGAGTACTCAATGAAACCGTTGTGGACACCTGTCGAGTGGTGGTAGCTCTTAAGACACTTCCGGAATAACAAGTGCCTAGAGGCTAATTGCTCTATAATAGAGCTTGCAACGGAATAAAAAGTAACTTCATGACGATTAGGGACTTATTCGGCATTAACACCATTGTTATTTGGCATGCATCGTTCGTTTGGCATAGGGCTTCACAAATTATCAGCCCCTGCTCAGTTGCTGAAAGAGCTGGCCTATAGCTTTTTCAAAGTTTTTAGCCCCACAGTTTTCCCCGAGTGTTGATTTTCCTGTGTCATTCTATGTCGCTTTGCGGCTATAATCACAAAGCTCCAGCAGCGACAGGGACTGACTTTATAATTATTGGCATGCCTGTACCATTCAAGCGGTGAGGTGACCCCACACAGAAACAGACTATTTTCCAAATTAGAAGACAACAAAAGCAGCCTGAAGAGTAGATCTGGAGGATTTGAAACTCCGCCATGCTGCTCCGGTATGATGCACACACACAACACATTGCAGACTCGAAGAAACATGACTCAAACTCCCGTTGCTCTCAGATATTTTTTTTCGCTTTGTAAGGTCCATCCAATTATATCTTATCCATTACCCACCACAAGGCAGCCACGCTTTGTATTTCAGACACATGTGCTACGCTGAGGTACAGGCTCACAGCTGTGGCGAGCGTCTTACGGACACGCCCACACAGGGTTGCAAATGTGAAAGCTCAAGAGCTAAGCCATGGCGACTCATAGATAAGTTTTGGGCATATTTGCTCATTAGCGTAGCTCGAGGCCTGCTTGTTTTGAAGGGCTCTTCAGTGCTTAAAAAGCACAGAAGAGCCCTTCAAAACAAGCAGGCCTCGAGCCACGCTAATGAGCAAATATGCCCAAAACTTATCTATGAGTCGCCATGGCTTAGCTCTTGAGCTTTCACATTTGCAACCCTGTGTGGGCGTGTCCGTAAGACGCTCGCCACAGCTGTGAGCCTGTACCTCAGCGTAGCACATGTGTCTGAAATACAAAGCGTGGCTGCCTTGTGGTGGGTAATGGATAAGATATAATTGGATGGACCTTA